GCTACTCCAGGTCTTTTGAGATTAAATTTGAATTTTAGGTTCAGTTTTTATATTTCTGTTCACTGTGTCCAAAACACCTGACAAGAACAATTAGAAGAGGGGTGCTCATGTATTCAGAGGTTCAGACCAAGGCCAGCCAACTCCATTACTGTGAACTCTAAGGCTCATGGCAGAGGGGTGTGACAGAGGAACACAGTTCAGGACATGGCAACAGGAAACAGAAAGAGATCTCTACTCACTGGGGACAAAATATAAACCCCAAAGTAATGCCCCAAGTGACCCACCTCCACCAGTCACACCCCATCTGCCCAGTTACCACTCAGTTAATCCAAATGAGTGGATTAATCCATTTATTAGGTTAAAGCTCTCATAACCTAATCATTTCACCTTTAAACCTTCTTTTGTCATCTTGCACATGAGCTTTGAGGGATTACTATTCAAACCATAACCATGTTTACCATAATCTGGAGGAATTTTCCTTTTTTCTTATTCTATTGTTTTTCTATTCTCTATTGTATTTATCTTCACTCAAAGCTTAATAATTTCCTTCTTTCTGCTAACTTTGAATTTAGTTTAATTTTCTTTTTCTAATTTCTCAAGGTGTAAAGTTAGGTTATTGATTTGTTTCTTCTTTTATAAAATCAGCTAAAAATTTTCCTCTTAGCCCTGCTATGCACTACCCCATACATTTTTTTTTGGTATGTTGTGTTTTCATTGTTATTTGTTTCAAAATATTTCTGAAATTCCCTTGTGATTTCTTCTTTGAACTATTGGTTAAGAGTGTGTTGTTTCATTTCTACATATTAGTAGATTTTCTAGTTTTCTGTTATTCATTTCCAGTTTCTATTATAATCAAAAAGATATTTTATATGATTTAAATCTTTTAAAATTTATTAAGACTTGCTTGGTTGCCTAACGTATGATCTATCCTATCTTAGGACTAAGCACATAAGAATAGAACATGACAATGTTTCACATACACTTGAGAAAAAAATGTGTGTTTTGCTGTTGTTGGGTGGTATGCTTCATACATGTCTCTTACATCTAAATGGTTTAGAGCGATGCTGAAGTCCTTTGCTTCCTCATTGATCTTGCCTGGTTGTTCTATCCCGTATTGAAAGCAGAATATTGGAGTCTCTACCTATTGTTGTAGACTATCCATCTCTATCTTCAGTTTTATCAACGTTTGCTTCAAATATTTTGGAGCTCTGATGTTTGGTGCATAACTTTTTACAATTGCTATGTTTTGACAAATTGATACTTTTTTCAATATATAATGTTTTTCTCTGTATCTTGGTATATTTTTTTTCCTTAAAGTCATTTTTTTCTGATATTAATATAGCTATCCCAACTCCCTTTTGGTGACTTTTGGCATGAAATATCTTTTACACATCATTTCACATTTGACCTATGTGTATCCTTAAATTTAAAGTGAGTCTCCAGTAGGTAGCATATAATTGACATTTTTTATCCATTCTACTAATTTATATTTTAATCCATTTACATCTTATCTACTAAATTAATGTTCTAATAAATTTACATTTAAAGTAATTGCTGAAAAGAAAGAACTTACTTTTGTAATTTTGCTATTGGTTTTCTGTTCTTAATTTTTTCCATTATTGCTTTCTATGGGATTTAGTTGATTTTTTTGTAGGTGATATTTCATAACATACTGATATGCTGCTGTGTCTTTTGGGGGAAGAAAATAAGACATAATATTAGTTATAATAAGGCATTCACATTAGATGTGATCTACAGGTTTCAACTACTTATATTTGTACATACATAGTTTTGTACCATATCTCATGATCAATTTGGCCAACTGCAGTGATAGGAAAGAAAACAACTGGGGAATGGGCATAATAGTTCTCTTTTTCCTGGTCTCTGTGTTGAATCAACTTAGAAGGGAAGATTAAAATTCCAACTTTATTATGGGTATAGCTGTTGGAAATAAGGCTTAGATGTGGAACAACATTAGTCTTCCTAACAGTAAACTTTGAAATTCAACAGACTTAATCACTTCACTGTGGCAATCCTATACTAGATAAGCCTCATCAGCAGGGACAGAAGTTCCCTCTAAAATGCTTCAGAAGCAAAGCAGAACATGAGTTCTGCAAGGTGGATGGCAAGAGCATGGGGAGATGGGAAGGACTGGGCTGCACTTACCCAGTTCCTGATCCCAAGTTTACTGATCAGAATAATCACTTTTCATTATAAGTGTGCCTTTATTTATAAATCTTCTGGAGACTAAGTTTTTTTTTAAACTGGGACTCCTTCCTACACTAGCTGGATAGAGGCTGTCATAAGAGACAGGAAGATGTAGCCTAACTTCAAAAGTTAAGAAAGGAAGGAGGTGCCTCTCCTGCACTGATACAAAAGGGAGAAAAATCACAGCCTGGCACATATCACCATGCTTTGCATTCCATTGCTGCCCCTGGTAACAGTTTCTGACAACAAAATGTGGCTGGAATGCACACTTGTGTTAAATTATTGCTCTTGTATAGGATAAGATAAAAAGACATTTCTCCTGAGTGCCTTACTGAATTGAAAATGGATCTTGATGGCCCAGCAGTCAGGTTGTCAGAGGTCATTTCCCTGCTGGGTATACTTATACCAATTACTTAACCTCTTGGTACTTTGGTTTCTTCATCTGTTAATAAAGTGAATTATAATAGTACCTACCTCATAGAGTTACTCTGAGCTTTAAATAAGTTGATGTATGTGAACTACTTAGAACTATATCTTTTGAGTATCCTATAATTGTTGAATATTATTACCTAATACTCTGTCATTTTCAAATCTCTTTATCTATATTAAAAAGAAGGTGAGGAAGATATATATTTCATAAATAGGCTTATATGCAGAAACAGAGATTGTGAAGTTTATATTGCTCATTTTACAACACTAACTTTCTCTTCTGGCTGGAGAACTTGGGGGTTGAATGGGGATCCAATACTCCCATATATCAGGAAAAATTCACAAGAACACTGTTGAGATTTGATGATGGAAGGAGAGACATGATTTCAGAACACTGCTCTATGTGCATACATCTTTCTGATTCCCATTTCCTTTCCTTCCTAACTAACTTCCTTGATACTTGCTATCCCAAGTCACAGTCTTTGTACCCCATCCATAAGGAAGGGTGAGTAGTGTTGACAAGCCCTTAAAGTCAAGGGATTTTCTCCCCCCTGTAAATTCTGTTATTTCAGAATGGCTGAGATGTGATGAAGTGGGGATGACTGCACTCTGTGCTCCAAAGGCTTTTGCTGGAGTGTTGGCAGGAATTGCATCATTGGCAGCTCAGGGGAGGCCAGGGAGGACATCAAGGCTAAGCAAGACAGAGCAAAGCCATGATCCCCACGTGAACATTCAAGGAACCAAACTATAGGCCAGAGCCAGAATCCCTATGGCTGCAGCTCAGAAGCCAGAAAAGCACAAAAAAGGCCAGTGAGCCATTGGGAAAATCCCTGCTGTTCGACACAGGAGACTGGCAGAAGGCCATCAGCAGGACCACACTGTGGGCCTTTAGGAGTGCTCCCAGATGAGAAACCAGGGGTAGAATTTCTATGGGTGCATAAGCTGTCAGAGGAGCTCAGAGCAAGGATTCTTCTTGAAAGTTTAAAGGTAAGTTAAGGCAGGACTTTGGGCACCAAAATGATTGTCAGAGGCTTGCCAGAGACCATATATCCAGAGTACTGGTTGGAAATGGACAAGGGCATGCTATCCCGGCAGTTGGTCTTCTTCTAAGAGCCTGTGACACTTGGAGCTTATATTACTAATTATAATTGTTGATACCATCTATTAAATGTCTACTCTGCCAGGAAATGTGCTGACATTCACGCTTATCAGCTCATGTAAATTATTCAACATCACTAGCAATCAGAGAAATGCAAATCAGAACTACACTGACATTTTTATCTCACTCAAGTCAGAATGGCAATTATCAAGAATACAAGCAACAATAAGTGTTGGTGAGAACATGGGGGAAAAGTACACTTATACATTACTGGTGGGACTACAAATTGATGTAACCAATCTGGAAAGCAGTATGGAGATTCCTCAGAAAATTTGGAATGGGATAATCATTTGACCCAGTTATTTTACTCCTTGGTGTATACCCAAAGAATCTAAAAATCACCATATTACAGTGATACAGCCACATCAATGTTCATAGCAGCTCAATTCACAATAACTAAGCTATGGAACCAACCTCGGCACCTTCAACAGATGAATTTGGATAAAGAAAATGTGGTAAATATACATAGTAGAATATTAACTCAACCTTAAAGCTTGAAGCTGGAGGTGTAGCTCTGTAACATAGCATGCCTCTAGCTTCTAGCTTGCCCAGGCCCTGGATTCAATTTCCAGGAGGGAGGGGGGAGCTTTGGGCTTGATGACGACAATGAGGTCCTCCTTCTAAACACAAGGTGACATGATGAAAGTTCACTCATTCATATGCACTCTTCCTCCAAACAGGGCTACTGCTGAACTAAATGTTGGCATTGGTAATTAATTGTCCACCCACAGTCTGTATTAGCGACCCAAAGTGCAGCCTCAAATGCTTTCTTGGCACCAGGTGATCACAGTCAACATTTAGGACACAGCCTGCTGTATGGCAAAGCTGATAAACGAATCCCACCTGTGTCCCTGCAACCCATCCCTGCCTTCAGAACCTCCCATCAGCCTTTCACATCCACCACCATCTCTACCATCGTTTTTCTTTGGCTACACAGTTCTTCAGACAGCAGCTGTTTGTTCTTTCTGTCCCTGCTCCTTATTCATTTAAACCTGGTTCCGCCCAGGAGCAAGAAAAAGGCTGGAAGTGATCCAGAATCCAGTGTGACATGGCCATGACCAGATTCCTCAAGAACAACTCTGGAAAAATTAGTCTATCTCAGTGAGGAGCGTGGAGAGAAGAAACCTTAGGGATTCTGTCTCTATGGCCCTAGTGTGATATGACAGCTGAACTAAGGTAGGAATACACAGGTAAAACCAGCATCTGAAACTCACAAAGCAAAAACAGAGTTTATTAATCCAGTGTGGACAGCCGAGATCATCTGTTGATGCACTTCCCCACCTTACAACTGGCAAACCATTTTAAGGGTGGGTTTGGGGGTACGAGACTGGGCTCATCCTGGAGTATCTTTGTCAGATCTTTTGTAGCTATAGTTTGCTGTGGCCAGCAGAGCAAAAGCAAAGGTAGAACAATAACTATGTTTTTGACTGAGGTAAATGCTCTTGAGTGAGAATCAGGGAATGAAACAGGGTGATTTCCAAAGCTGTTAAAATCGCCCTTCCCCTCCTAACAAAGCAACAGAGGAGAGATTTGCCTCGTGCTTTCCTCACATGCCTGTGTCTGTCTGAGTCTCCATGGTGATGTTGTGTATGTTTGCAGGGCTGGAAGGATCCAGAGATGGAAAACGAAGCCAGGGTGGACTAGAGCAGGGAGTCCAGCAGGAATTCCTCTCTGCTCCTCTGCAGGCGATCAGTTAACGGAGAGCAAACCTACCCTTCTGAGGTTAGTCATCCAGCCTGCTATTTCCAACAGCTCTGAGAAAAAAACACGAACCACAACAGTTACTCCAAGGATTATTCATGAAAGTCTGTTTTTCCCCCAGGTGGCGTTTCATTGGGTAGGAATTTCATCATGAGAATTCCCTAAGCCAAGGTATCAGCACACAAAAATAGCAAGGCAGCCAGCGGGTCCCTGGGTGGGGACAGTAGGTATATCAGAAAGTGCTCTATGGTGTCTCACCTGTTTCCCCCACTGCCTGGTGTTTCCTGTCTATGCTACGTGGACTTGAGGAGCAAAGCTCTTGATACCTGTAAGAGACCTCTTTTTCTAAATGAGATCTGTAACTCATGAATGTTTCTCCTAGTGGAAGAAGAGAGAGAGCCCTTATGAGTATTCTTAGTAATTCCTCAAGCAAGACAGTTGACCTTTTAACTCCTTCTTTGTCTTCTGAATCACCTCCCAATGTTCTCTTACATTTAGGGAGCCATAAAGGGGATTCTGACCAGCATTTTGCCCAATTAGGGCCAATGTTCCTATACAGAATACCTATTTTTAGGCAAATTGTATAAACATATGTGTAATGGCCATCATTTAATGCAGCATCTGTCATACATTAGGTGCTCAAAAATATTTATTAAATAAATGAGTAAAGGCCCCATAAGTCATGTGACAATGGCAAGGGCATATGGAAGGTGGTTGCCATCTAGAAGTTTGGTGAGTTTCATGGGGTGAAGAGAGACTGTTGAGTAGGATCAGATGCTAAGCTACCTGTACTTCAAACACAGCCCTCCTTACTCCACAGCCTGCAGCCCCTTACAAAAATTTGTTTCTCATACACACACACACACACACACAAACACACACACACACAAAAAAAACAACTCGAGGAATGTGGAGATCAAATTTACCTGATGATGTATTGGTAGATATCAGTTGGCCATCAGAGTGTATTTCTCATTCTCAGGGCCTAAGAGTTTGGCAGATGGCAAAGTAGGATGAAGGGGAGACAGACTTGTAGCAGGCTAAGGAATAAATTAAAACATATAAAATATTACTAGCAATCTTCCATAGGCCATGAAATAGCTTCCTAAGCTGACTGTACTGCTCCAAATAAAAATGTACTTAAATGTATTTCATAAGATGGTGACATGGTCTGAACTTGCACGCCCCATTACTTTCCTGAATACATGTGCTGCTTCATTGTTCTGTCCTGTGTCATTCCCAAAACTTAAGGGTCATTCAGTCACCTAACAAACATTTGTAATCTAGAGCAGTGGTTCTCAGTCAGAAATTTGGTCTCCTCAGGGGATACTGATAATATTTGAAGACATTTGTTTTGTTTAGTTTTTAAATTTTATTTTGAAAATAACCTTAAAATACAATATAAATAAATAAAACACAACTATTTGAACTCTAAATGCAACTATTTAAGCTCAATTTTGGAAAAGGTATACGTATGTGATCATAATCAAGATGTAGAGTATTTTGAACATCCTAAAATGTTTCTTTCAGCCCATTCCCTATAAGTCTCAATTCTCAACTCTTGTCCTAGACAACCTATTCAGCAACTTCATGTGACTATATGTTACATTTGTCTCTTCTTCATTTTTAGAATAATGGTTTCATAAAATTGCCACAATATACCCTTTTCCACCTGTTTTTACATAGCATAGAGTTCCAGAGATCCCATTTTTAAAAAATTTGTTCTAATTAGTTATACATGACACTGGAATGCATTTTGACACATTATACACAAATAGAGCACAAATTCTCATTCCCCTGGCTGTACATGGTGCAGTCACACCAGTTGTATAAGCATACATGTATGTACATAGGTTAATAATGTCCATCTCATTCTACTGTCCTTCCCATCCCCACATGCCTTCCCCTCCCCACACTCCCCTCTGTATAATCCAAAGCTCCTTCACTACCATCCCCTACCCCCTCACACCCATTATGGATCAACATCTGCTTATCAGAGAAAACATTTGGCCTCTGGTTTGGGGGGTTTGGTTTATTCGCTTACCATGATATTCTCCAGGTTCATCCATTTACCAGCAAATGCCATAATTTCATTCTTCTTGAAGGCTGAGTAATATTCCATTGTGTATATATACCACATTTTCTTTATCCATTCATCTATTGAAGGGCATCTAGGATGGTTCCATAGTTTAGCTATTGGGAATTGAGCTGCTATAAACATTGATGTGGCTGTATCACTGTAGTATGCTGATTTTAAGTCTTCTGGGTATATGCCAAGGAGTGAGATAATTGGGTCAAATTAGTAGTTCCATTCCAGGTTTTCTAAGGAATCACCATACTGCTTTATATGGTGGTTGCACCAATTTGTAGTCCCACCAGCAATGTATGAGTGTGCCTTTTCCCCCACATCCTCACCAACATTCATTGTTGCCTGTTTTCTTAATAGCTGCCATTCTGACTGGAGTGAGATGAAATCTTATACTAGTTTTGATTTGCATTTCTCTAATTACTAGAGATGATGAAAATTTTTTCATGTTTGCTAATCGATTATGTTTCTTTTTCTGTAAAGTGTTCAGTTTTTTAAGCCATTTATTGATTAGGTTATTTGACTTTTTTGGTGTTAATTTTTTTGAGTTCTTTATATATACTAGAGGTTAGTGCTCTATCTGATGTGCATGTGGTAAAGATTTTCTCCCATTCTGTAGGCTCTCTCTTCACATGATTGTTTCCTTTTCTGAGAAGAAGCTTTCTAGTTTAAATCCATCCCATTTATTGATTCTTGATTTTACTTTTTGCACTTTAGTAATCTTGTTAAGGAAATCAGATCTAAGCCAACATGATGAAGATTTGGGCCTGCTTTTTTTCTCTATTAGGTGCAGATTCTCTGGGTCTAATTCCTAGGTCCTTGATCCACTATGAGTTAGTTTTGTGCATAGTGAGAGATAGGGGTTTAATTTCATTTTGCTGCATATGAATTTCCAGTTTTCCCAGCACCATTTGTTGAATAGGCTATTTTTTCGCCAATGTTTCTAGCATCTTTGTGTAGTATGAGATAACTTTATTTATGTGGGTTTGTCACTGTGTCTTCAATTCTGTACCATTGATCTTCATGTCTATTTTGGTGTCAATACCATGCCATTTTTGTTACTATTTCTCTATAGTATAGTGTAAGGTCTGGTATTGTGATGCCCCATGTTGAAGTCATTTTTGATTGTCATAACTGGAGGAGGGTACTGTTGACATCTTGAGGAGGCCAGGTATGTTTCTAAGCATGTTATAAAGCATAAAACAGATCCCAACAACAACAACAAAAAGAATCATCCTGCTTCAAAAATGTTGAGAAGCAGAAAGAGAAACACATGATAGATAGCACAGTAAGCCTTCCACCCAAGTCCTGGGAAGTCACAGAAGGCATATTGGATGGGGCAGCATGTGAGCTGAGATATGAATTAGGAGTAAACACAATTAGGAAAAAAAGATCTCAAGCAGAAGAAACTACATCTGGGGAGAAAAAATTTAAAAACTGCAAGGATAGTAAATGTTCTTTTAACTAACTTTCCCTTACATTAGCTCATGTGTAAAACGCATTGATTGATGCCCACAGCACCCTGAGCATCCATGGTTGGCAAGCCTGTGTACCTCTACTTGCACCAGGTATGCTTACCAAGGGCCAGTAACATTTACTCCCAAAGCTGTTAATGCCAGTCTTAATGTCAGTTTGGTTATATAATTAGGTGTTGTATAAACTCTGAGATATGATTACAACAAGAAAGTTGTTGTATTCCTTCCATGCAGAATGCTTTGACAAGATTTCATGAAGAGTCCTTTAAAAATGTCATCAAATTAGTATAATCAAAACAACTCTAATAGTTTGGGAAGAAAAAAGGTTTAAAATGTAAAAGAGTTATGCATTCCCATTGTTTCACAAGTGTCCTTACATTCTTAATCCACTTTTAAAAAAACTGTAATTGGAAATCATAAATAATCCCATATTGGTATGGTTTATGCAAGAAAGATGACTCTGAACACTAACCAACTTACACCAAGTAAAGCCCTTGTCCTTATCTCAAAACACTGCTAAATAAATGCATACTTTAATGTTTTGAGTTAAAATATAATAAGCATCACCTGTATATGTCATTTTTATGATTCCCAGTTTTATAACTTTTTTATTAATCTTCTCAGTTATGACAGCTTTCACCATATCTGGGTACAACTGGGGCACAGAACAGAGACCATGATAACATACAAAGAACAAGAGATGAACTGGGGTCAGGTCATGAGGAGTCTTGTAAGCCATGATGCATTTGGACCTTGGTATGTAATAGAAGCCATTAGAATGTTTTAAACCAGGGAATGACTTGGCCACATAATGTCCTTTTTGCCTTAGCTCTAGTGAAGAGTATGAATAGGAAGAAAGTAAATTTGGAGACCACAAGTTCAGCTAGCAAGGACCTGCAGGAATATGGGTTTCCTATTATTATTAAGGATAGAAATAACATTGGTGATGCAGATATGGAAATGGGTTCAATAGATATTTAGAAATTAATATCCAGAGAACTTGATTATTGACTGGCTATAGTCTATAAAGGAAAGGCTAGAGTTATGAAACAACACTTGAGTTTGGGTCCAGGATGCATGAATTGTTCATGGTGATATCCTTGAGATGGAAGACAAAGCAGAAGAATTCAGGCAGGGTGGGAAGATGTTGAGACCAATTTTGGACATGTTAAGTCTCATTATCCTGTGAGACAACCAACCATGTAAAGATTTTCAGTATATGATTAGATTCAAAATTGAAATACACAGAAAAAAATCTGTGGCTGAATATTTTTATGCCACTGAATTCTCAAAAAGATTAATGTCCAACACTGTCAAATGTCAAATAAGTATCTGAGGAAACTGTACTTTACTGGTGGGGTTGTATTTTGGTACAATTACTTTGGAAGATATTTTAGCACTATCTTATAAAGCAAACCCAATAATTCTATTCCCAGGTATATGCCCTAGAGAAATTCTTGAATATGTGACTAGAAAATATTCAGGAATGATTCAGTACCATTTTTCATAATAGCACAATATTAGAAGCAATCTAAAGAGTCAAAAACAGATGGATATAGGGTAGTATATGTACAAAAAGGATTATAATGAAGCAGTAGAAAATGATAAAGAGCACACATGTACAAAAAATATGAAAGAGCCTCAGAAATACAATGTTTAATGGAAAAACAAAAAAAATACCAAAACACCTCTATCTGTATATTATTTTTTAAAACCTAAAAAATAAGCAAAATGAACAAAATATAATTTATGTATGCATGCATTTGGAATAAAGTAAGTCAAAAATCAAAGGAATAGGAAAACAGTTGAGGATAGTTGTTCTCTGGTGAGAGAAGAAGGCAGGGTGAGGGAGGAGGCAGGTGCACATGTTAGGAAGGATGCAAGTTACTGGCCATGCACCTGTCCTCCATTGAGTGATGACATTGGATGTTCATTATACTACAGTATGTTAACAAATTATATACTATGAATATTCCTTTGTATTAATCAAGAGCATATTAAGATTAATACACAAAATGAAAATTATGCTTAGATTAACATTTTTTTAACATCCCAACCAAGGATTCAAGGACTGTTTACATTTATTGCCTTGCTAGGATTACGTTTATCAGATTGTGTTTTAGGACTTGAACTTCCTTCACCACAGGTAAAACTCTAGGATACATATAGGGCCACATAGTGTGCATTTTGTGTGATAAAATCATTCATGACTTCATGTCACTAACTGTATTTTCCTATCAGCCTGACTCATACAGTTCTGCATTTTCATTCCTTAGTGTAATGCGCATTTCTGTAAGTCACCTCATATTCTTTGTGGAATGAGGCAGGGTGCAAATAATCAATACTAAAACACTGTATCCCATGGGAATAGGAAAAAGTCTCAAAGTTTGTCATATTTTTTCCCATTTATAGCAGGGAGTACAGAATAAAAAATAGGAGGTGCCTTTCATCTGGATGTTAGCCTGCTGCAAAATGTCTACCAGGGCCCTCTGATAGCCTGGAGGTCGTCAGAAAAGCCCTTTACCGGCTGTGTCAGAAAGTGTCTTGGAAACCCACCAAGCCCTAGAGCTCTGGATTGCCAGCCAGGGCCTGAAAATCAGATATGGTTCTGAGAATGCTTCCAGCAACCCTGCACTATGAATGTTCCTGAACCTTTGAAACCACCCCTTATGTGGTCCACAAATTCTTCAGTCCAGGGCAAACGGGATATCTCATGACCAGCATGCTCACTCATTACCCACCTCCACATAGAGAAGCAAAGTGCTTCCAGGCTGAAGAGTGGTGTGGACCATTCATCTGAAGGTGGCATATTCTTGAAGATGGGATCCAGCTGCCAGGGAAATGGCTCCTGCCTTCATTGCACCCAGTCTGTTGGCTACAGGAAGAGTTTTCAATTCCCACAAATGATTAGGATAATTGGTTCCTGTCTGTACATTAAAGCAATAAAACTTAAACATGTCACAGTTCAAGCCCTGATCCATCTGCGCTGGTTCCCCATTCCAGTTGCACCACAAATAAATCAGGCATTAGAAAATCATTACTGAGGAAGATTCTGCTTCAAACTATAAGGGAAGGACTGAGAGAAGCTTATATTAGCCATTGTCTTCCACACATCCTTTCCTAATCCCATAGATGGTTGTTTAAATAAACATTTAAAAATGTTTATTTGTTCTTTTTAGTTAGACATGACAGTAATATGTATTTAAACATACATACATGGAGTATAACTTCCCATTTTTGTGGTTGTACATGATATGACATCACACTGGTCGTATATTCATAAATGAACATAGGAAAGTTATGTCTATTTCATTCTATTGTCTTTCCCATTTCTATCCCACTTCTCTCTTCCCCCTCCTGCCATCTAATCCAGGGGAACCTTCACTCACCTCTTTCCCCCTCATTGATATTCTCCAGGTCCATCCATTTACCAGCAAATGCCATAATTTCATTCTTCTTTAAGGCTGAGTAATATTCTATTGTGTATATATACCTCATTTTCTTTATCCATTTATCTGTTGAAGGGCACCTCGATTGGTTCCATAGTTTAGCTATTGTGAATTGAGCTGCTATAAACGTTGATGTGGTGGTATCACTGTAGTATGCTAATGTAAGTTCTTTGAGTATATGCCAAGGAGTGGGATAACTGGGTCAAATGATGGTTCCATTTCAAGTTTTCTGGGGAATCGCTGTACTGATTTCCATAGTGGTTCCACCAATTTGTAGTCCCACAAGCAATGTATGAGTGTACCTTTTTCTCCACATCCTCATCAACACGTATTATTGCCTGTTTTCTTGATAATTCATTTTGATTGGAGTGAGACGAAATCTAGGTGTAGTTTTGATTTGCATTTGTTTAATTGCTAGAGATGTTGAAAATTTTTTCATATATTTGTTTGCCATTCTTATTTCTTCTTCTGTTAAATGCCTGTTCAGTTGTTTTGCCTATTTATTGATTGGATTATTTGTCTTTTGGTGTTAAGTTTTTTGAGTTCTTTATATACCCTAGAGATTAGTGCTCTATCTGAGGTGCACGTGGTACAGATATTCTCTCTCTGTTCACATTCTTGATTGTTTCCTTTGCTGTGAAGAAGCTTGAGTTTGATACCATCCCATTTATTGATTCTTGATTTTCTTTCTTGTACTTTAGGAGTCTTGTTGAGGAATTTGTTTCGTAAGCCAACATGATGGAGAGTTAGTCTTACTTTTTCTTCTAGTAAAGGGTCTCTGTTCTAATGCCTAGGTCCTTGATCCACTTTGAGTTGAGTTTTGTGCATGGTGAGAAATAGGGTTTCAATTTCATTCTATTATATATAGCTTTCCAGTTTTCCAAGCACCATTTGTTGAAGAGGCTATCTTTTCTCCAGTGTATGTTATAGCACCTTTGTCTAGTATAACTGTAATTATGTAGGTTTGACTCTGTATCTTTATTCTGTACCATTGATCTTCATGTCTGTTTTGTACCAATATGACATTTTTGTTACTATAGCTCTGTAGTATAATTTAAGGTCTGGTATTGTAATGCCTCCTACTTCATTTTTCTTTCCAAGGATTGCTTTGGCTATTCTGGGCCTCTTATTTTTCCAAATGAATTTCATGATTGCTTTTTCTAAGTCTATGAAAAATGTCCTTAGAATTTTATTAGGAATTTCATTAAATATGCCTGGCACTTTAGCAAAGTAGCAGAATATAAAATTAACTCCCATAAATCAATTACATTCTTATACATCAGTGAGGAATTGACTGAAAGAGAAAACTATTCCATTCACAATAGCCTCAAAGAAAATAAAATATTTTGGAATCAATCTAACAAAAGAGGTGAAAGACCTCTACAAGGAAAACTATAGAACACTAAAGAAAGAAATTGAAGAAGACCTTAGAAGATGGAAAGATCTCCCATGTACTTGGATAGGCAGAATTAATAGTCAAGGTGGCCATACTACCAAAAGCACTATACAGATTTAATGCAATTCCTATTAAAATTCCAATGACATTATTCATAGAAATAGAAAAAGCAGTCATGAAAGTCATGTGACCCATGCATCTTAATAATTCTTGTCCACTGCCTCCCATGAGATATCAACCACATTGTCCATAAAAATAGTTTTAGATAAAAAAAAGGAAAGAAGAGAGGGAGTAGGAAAAAGAGGAGGAGGAGGAGGAGGGGAAGGAGAAGGGGGAGGTAGAGGCATACCTCCTCATGTGAAGAGTGTAAAGAATATGGCTATGAAATTGATTCCCTCTCAGGATCTATGCTTATGCCAGTATGTCAAAATCACATTGGACTGGGGCTACGACAGACCTTGCTCTTTCCTATATAGGCTCCAGTATTCTTCATAATAAGGAAAAAAGAAGAGAAGTTTGCCTCTTCCAGGCTTATTCAGACCTTTACCACCACCTCTTCCTATGCTGTCTTGAACAAGCTCTGTGTAGGATGAGGTTTAGGAAATTCATGCTCAGAGGCACCTGTAACTTTGTCTCTAGAAAGTTGTTGAGTGGAGCAAACAAGTCTTTTAAAGTTGCCCAGCTCATTCCAAATATACAAAGAAGCTGTTTGGCCCATGCAACACCCAAGCTATCTCTCAGCACTTAGTAAATGGCAGCTTGAAAAAGCCCTATTCTGAAGGCTTGCAGTTGAATTAGATGATATCCCCACTTGTTACCACAGGGGGAAAAAAAAATCTATGCCAAGAAAACCTCAATTATCAAACTCAGTGTGCCCTCTGGCTATGTTTTTGCCCATCCAAAATCTTCATATTCAAAAACCATGAGGTAGGGTTTGGGCATGTCAATTTGGTAACCTTGATATTATGAGATAGTATATCAGAATCTTTAGAGAAAGAAATGCTGGACTCCTGCAACATCCAATCAAACCACAGCATTTAGTCTCCTGGGAGAAAAGTAGGCCAAGAAACCATTATAAGACTATGCTTCCCACATGAGAAAGTCTCAGAAACAAGGGAGGCCTTCTGGGTAAATTCCAGGAGTGCACCCTCTTCCTCCTAAGAGAGGGAGACCAAAGTCTAAGGGATAACCTGTTCATATAGGGTCACCTTTAAAAGATCTCTTCTTGCCGTGCTCTGGCTCTTGTCTTGATAAGGAGCTATACCCCCTACCCTCCTTGACCAAGGGAGTTTCTCTAGACTTTTCTTCCCACCTTTGCTTTTACAGATGTAGAGAAATTTCGATTCCTAAATCAAATGGTAGAATGGCAACAGCATCTAGGAAGAATTTTTATTGAAAAATGCTGTTTCCTACCTCTGGCACCCATCCATCTCCTTCCTCCCTGCCTGGGGCCTTCTCCAGGGCAGCCGGCCTGGCTCTCTCACTTGGCTTCTCCCCAAGTCACCCCCACTCAGATCACAGGGAGGAGTTTCCATGCCTTAGTCTAGCTGCTGGCTCCCCACTGCCAGGACCCCTGCTCTTCAAGCTGTTTAATAAAGTTTAGGAATAATGTATAAAGGTAAGCACTTTTATCATCATGATCCCGAGCAAACAACCCTGCTTAACTATTCCCTGACATCTGATTGATTTCTGGCCTCACTTTTAAATCACATTTGCATATCATAAACTTTTCCCTAGGTCAGCGTCACCAAAGTAGATTTCATGGAACACCAGTTTGACAAAATGCTCCTAAAAGCAGAGATTCCACCATTTGAGATATCAACCACCATTTTATATATATATATATATCACATGACCTTCCCAGAGTTTCTCATGATTATTCATAGTATAACTTCTCATAAAGCCAATTTTCTTGAATTTCATCTTTTTTCCATAACACCTATGAGCAGAAGAGTTCTGTAAAACACATTTTGGACAATGCTGTTCTAAGCTTATCTTTGAACTGAGATTGCAAATTAGGAACATTTAAATCCTCATTTATCCCAGAAAATGACTGTGATGCATAAACATAATAATTTACAAACATTTTCATGATCTTTAAAAGTAAAGTTTATTCTTTAGACTTCTGTAGACATTCTTATTGTATTGTTAAGAGTGCAACTAAACAGGCAAATGCTTCTTATACTCTGCCCCATAGAATCTCCTGTCAACCAAGGCTTGGAGGACTTCAAAGAAGTTCTTTCTTAACTTGGGAGAGGAGGGAAATCAAAGGGTTTTTCATTACTCATTTGTTACTCCTCTCTTTTTTCCTTCCAATAGTTGAATTTTTTTTAATTTCACTACCAACCTAAATTAAAGCTACAATGAGATATTGCTAGATACTTTTAGTACTGGCTAAAACAAAAAAAAAAAGTAACAACACCAAATACTAGTGAGAAGGGAGAGAGAAAGAATTATTTATACATTACAGTGGAAATGTAAAATGGTGCAGCCATTCAGGAAAAGAGGCAGTTTTATATAAAACTAAATACTTAACTACCACACAACCCAGAAATTGCACTCTTGGGCATTTATCCCACAAAAATGAAAAACATGCCCACATAAAAACTTGTGTACAAATGTTCATAGTAGCTTAATTTGTAACACCATGCTATAGTCTGAAGGTTTATTTCTCTCTTGCTCCAAAATTCATGTGTTGCAATCCTGACCTCCACGATGAGGTGACGGTGTTACAAGGTGGGGTATTGAGGAGGTGATCAGCTCATGAGGGCAGAACTTTTATAAAAGAGACCTGAGGATCCCTCTTCCACATCTGAGGAAATAGCAAGAAAATGGCCAAGGATGAACCAGAAAGCAGGCCCTCACCAGGCACCAATTCTGATGGCACCTTGATATTGGATTTCCCGGCAGCCCCTACAACTGCCAGAAATAAATTTCTGTTGTTTATAAGCCACCCCATCAATGGCACTTTGTTACACCAGCCCAAGTGGACTAAGATTGCGCATATCTAGAAACAGCCCAGATGCCCTCCAGTGACTGAATGGTTAAACAAACCATGGCTCATCCATAACATAGAATACTT